ATGCGGCCTATGAAGAGCTGAAACAGGGAACAAGAAACAATGTTAACAATGTGTACAGTGAGGCTGATCTCTCTACAACAGGTATTCACGATTATTCGTTATAATGTTTAACTACTAAATACTTTTTATGTGAAATTCAAATAAATCATCGGAAACTGACTGAAAATATTAGGAACATGTTCATGCATAAACTTTGTTAGAGTCTGACATAAAAACATCATCTGGCGCTCATTGAGTTGATGATAATTTAAAACATTTCTTTATCAATTGACTGAATGTAATCATTTCACTATTTTGTTTATTTGTTGTGTTTAATGGTTTTTATAAAATGTTTAACTGTCGACACGACTAATTGGTACGGAAATATTACGTTATAAGCGTTATATATTTCAGAGGATAGAGCTGTCGGTATGACATACGAGAATACGAGTATTTCAAGATAAACACACACCAAGATATGTCCATCCATCGTATCGTTTAAATTACGTCTTATATGTATTCAATTGTAGTATAGTCTGATTTTATTGACCTGTCAATTATGAATACATTATAGCACACATTTAAATATTCGACCCCACTTCGGGTTTGTCCGTTTATTTTACGAGAATTAATATTGAGTATATATATAACTAACATTTTGAAAACTCCAACTAGCTTAAATGTAGCTTCTCGTAACATACGCAATAGCACAGTCCCTTAAGTGATTACCTAATGTGTGAGAGGTCCGAAGTTCGATCCATTCTTTTTAAATTCTTTTTAGGCTTATTCTTTCTTTATATTTAAGTATATTTTAATGAAAATTGTCAAACGTTTGCAAAATTGTCTACACGAAAATGAAACAACTAAGAAACATTGAATTGTCACGTTTTGTTTTGTATTTTATGGCACTGAAATGACATTTATTGATTTTAACCCAAATGAATTTTGAATCTTAAACAAGTATAGTATTTAACAAAAAAAAATGCAAAGCATATTAGAACAGAAAGAACAACCATAACTTCAAAAATGTTGAAAATAGTTATGAATAAGGAAATAAATGGACATACGCTGTCTCGATACGTAGGACAATTAGATATTATATACTCGTAGTTTACCCGATGTCGCTATAACGGTCATTGTAACTTCTTCATAGAAACAAGATTAATTTAATCACATCTTTTTGCGTACATCTTACGGAATTTACCGAACATTTATCGGATATATATATTCTGTGCATTGACCGTATAATCAGTATGGAATTGACAGGTTAATAAAATCAAACAATATAACCAAATTATATAATTGTAGTTTCAGAATAACATGTTATGATAATAATGTTTTTACAATGTAAAAAATATAAGAATCGCAGGACAATTAGACAATTATTCAGACTGCTATTACAAAAAGACACTTTAATAGCATATATTTATCTATTTCCTCCAAGATCGAAGAGATATATTACTTATACAATATCTCTTTTAAAAAAGAGACACTTTGTCTTATGATGTATAACAATGCATGACAAAATGTTGAATATAATATGTAAATTAAATACGCTACAAGCAATATGTGATTCATATTATGAATATGGTCTAATAATGTTCCTTGGTGATATGAATGCTGAGGGTAGGTCACTAAACTCGCATTGAAACATAGGCTTAACATGTTTTGGAACAAATGACTTGATATCTCTTGTATATTTACCTCATTGTAATGGTCCAAACTTTTCTTTCAAACCTACTGAAAATGTTAGATCACATTATTATGTATAAAGTTATAAAGAATTAGTGTCAAATATGGAAATCAAATCACCTGCTTTTATTTGCGGTTATTGTCACATTAATAAATGTAGCGAAAACAAATTAAATTTTTTTCCTGGAAAAAATGAAACGATGACATTTTATTACAGTTTGAAAATAAATTGTCAGTTTTACTAGAAAATATTAGCAAAGCCGATGTTGATTTGATTTACGATAATATTGTCCTCTCTATAATGAAAGCGGCCAATAATACCCTCTCTAAATCAAAATACAATAAGTAAGCCAAACGCTGAAGTTACTTCAGGTAAATATGGCGGTCAGTTTTTGTTATGACCGACCAAGTGAAATATATGTTTTAAACCAATTTTCGTGTATTTTGCTAAATTGAGGATGTAAGAAAAGGTACAATATGACTTTGCTGTGACATGACTCAGTGTATATGTAGAAAATGTTTCAAATCTTTCGACTTGATAATTATGATATACTTGATGTTTTAAATTTTGCCGAGGATTTTGCACGAAATTCACGAGCCGCCACTACCCACGCATACATTTTTTAGCTATACTACGCTACAAAAAATAACGTTACTGATGTCCAGTGCACCAGTATTGGAAAATAATTCAAGAAAAAAAAGACCTATCCTCCCAGGAAATTGAAGCTGATTCACAATTGCAAAGAGTTTGTTCACAGGAAACTCCTATCATGGAATATACTCCTGCAAATACATTCCTAGATCAGAATGCAATTATAAATGCTTTTGATGCCGTGTTGTCTGACACAATCTAAGCTAACATTAAAAGTACCATGGAGGCAACAATAACAAAACTCGTTGATGTGGTAGTCACCAGGTTACAATCACGTATAATTCATCTTGAATATGAAAACACAATGCTGAAGAAAGCCAAAATTGATCTGGAAAACCGTATTTCTGAACTAGAGAGACAACACGACGCAGATGATCAATATTCGAATCGCAACTTTTTGCTCATCTCTGATGTTTCTGAAATGCTACATGAATCTGAAGATAAAGTAGTTATGGACCCTTACGATGCACTTTAAGCAGACATAACGCTGTCTGAGATTGATAGATGCCATAGAACAGGCACTCCAAAAGTTGACGGGCCAAAAATTCTTGTATAATTTGCCACATATTGTGCTCGACAAAATCTGTATACCTAACGAACAGACCTATCGCACACTGAAACAAAACGCGGTACGTTTATTAACGAGCAACTTAAATCTATTCGTTCGAAACAATTATACGCGGCACGTAAATAAGCCAAGGACGGTAAAATCATTTCGATCTGGTTGAGGTCCTGATAAAAAATCGCTGTCGTTGGAGTCTCAGCTGAAGATGAAGTCTCCACCACAATCAAATGAATCTCGACATTGAAAGAACTTGATCTATACCGGGGCTAACAAAATAATAAAAGTGAAAACAAACTTTCGGCGGGTTGTTTACAATGATAAAGTGTGCAATGTTTATATACATAAGCAAATAATGGAGATCAATCTTACATACATGAATAAAAATCAGTGTTGTTTATGTTGTTTATACAAATATAATATTAATGAATGTCAACCTATATTTGCAAATTAAATTATAAAGCGATCAATCTATAAGTATTTAAAGTGACTAAATTGGAACACAAGTGACCATCATTTATTTGTATACAGACTCTCGGCGTGATGTATATACAGTTACAATAAATAAACCACAAAGCCTGTAAAAACAGTCGTTTGCTGTTCTTGGTCAGTGCTGTTAAGAAAAAATATTTAAAAAAAAACCTCAGTCGCAAAGTAACAAAATATTCTTAATGTTTTTCGACATTCTAGCAGTAAAAGTATAAAAGACAGATAATCAGGTGATTAAATTATTGTCAAGAAAAACATATAAAAATGCAAAAATTTTAAGCAAATGCTGTTGTTGTTTTCATCTTTGTATCTTAAATGTGCCACGGTATTTTACTTGTAGCCTGTAAAAATTCAACATTTTGTTAATCAATCCCTTGATTTTTAGTTCGTTTTTCTGATTTTCCGTTCCACAGGCTTTGCTTGTTTCATATTATGCACATTTTTAATTTATATTAATTCAATGGCATCCCTGGAAAGCTTGTTGAATAATCTTTCATTTGATAGAAATTACTAAACACCGCTGGGATTCTGCAGAACTAGAAACATTGAATGCATCATGGTGTGACCGTTAAGGAAGATTTAAAATGAAATATGAAAAAAGATAAGAAAGAATGTGTCTCAATATTGCAGCATGAACATTTATAGCTTTCAAGCGAAAGATTGCAGGAATAGAATAATGAGGAAATGAACCAAATATGTGTAAACATATGTTGACCGAGTACATATTTATCTATTTTATCTAGTATGTTATTATTGAATGATATCAAGAGGTACGTTAAAGTATTTTCCTGCATTTCAAAATTATGATAAACATGGGAACGCAGATTGAAATTGGAATCGTCTTTCGGGTGTTTGAAAGTTGTTACATTATGAAGATGGCAGTGCTATTGTACGTAAAGTTCCGCTTTTACTTTCTGGTGTTGTTCTTAGAGAACTGTCAAGGCGGAACTTAGTATGATCAATTCTAAACAACACACAGCTTAATTATTCATTATTCAGTTCAAAATATATCCAAGAATTAAAACGCTTTAGCTTACATAAAATCAGAGATGTCTAAAATATTGGATAGTTACTAGATTATGCATCTTAGTTTCTCGTTATTGTTCCATCATTGTTCATCCATTTCTTCCTCAATTTGTCTTATATATTTTTTCCTTAAATATTCCATGTTTATCTAATCTGGGTATCTGCTTATATACAGTATATACAACTAAAAGCAATCAAATAACATATTATTTGCTACTTCTTGTTAAATTCTAAAACGTAACAATTTACTTAAGTATCACTTTGTCTTTTTTATAGTTAGCTTTATTTTTTAATCATTTTTTTTCTCATTTGTTTTCTTTTTTACTGTTTTCTCTTACATACGTTACATTGTAAAATACTTGTGAATGTCTTTGAATACTTCAACAAACCATTGTGTATGATTATGCCATGATCTGTGCTTATGTAAATTGTTAAAACTGGAAGAGAACACTCATAGGCCTTATAGCTTTTTGCCCAATCCCAAAAATGTGTTTTGTAAATATTGTTCACATGTTGAATGTAATGTTGAATAAATTTGTTTAAACCAACTTAATTATTGTAAGAGGTTTAATAACAAATTACAAACACATAATAATAGCAATATTCAATATTCAATTAAATGTTTAAAACGAGCTAAGAATGGATCCTTACAGCTGTGAAACATGAAATTTATAATAAAGCATAACCATATTCATTAGCTGTATTAAAAATCATCCTGTAAGTAAAGGTGATATACTGAGTAGGACGCAAAAACTCTTTTCTATGAAAGAAAAAACTGCAATTTACAATGTAAGAATGCAGCATGACATAACTATTTTTATAAGTTCAATGGATAAATTTACTTGCAGGCATATAGAATCTAGAATAAACAATGTAAGAAAGCAGAATATAACTTTGGCAGCAATTTATCTTCCATAAGATAACGTTATGCATATTCTTTATAGGGGACTCATCGGCACAAACATATTGACTTTATCTATAAACTTATACGTTACGGTATACAGCATAATTTAGTTTTATTATACATGTATAGTTTTTACACTAGATTAAACAATTGCATATTTACTTAAACTATAGCAGGCATAGTCAAGTATTCATATGTCCTGACGCTTAAGTTATCTTATACTTAAAATCCGCCAATTACATAATGGATAACATACAGACACTTCCTGATTATGACAGTGTTATTTCTTAAATAATTCAAAACCAGTTTGAAAATGTCGTGTTTTCGTTTGCTTGTTTTATATTTCGTTGGATTTTTTTCTTCTAGCGCTTTAGTTGGTGGATACAGCAGAGGTAATGGTTGTTAAAGTATATGACTTATTTATGTATCAAGATATTGTTCGTGCGTATTTGGATGCTTGTACATTCGTGAATTAAGAAAACTCAAAATTCGTAGAAAATGGTAAATAAAATTATGATACGCTTGTGGCGATGTTACTGATAACAGTATTAAAGAACAGAATAACAGTATTAAAGAACAGATTAAATTATTTAGTATATCAAGTTGCTTTTCATTTAATCAACTTTTCACAACAACAAAAATCGTTAATATAATGTTGCTTTCCTTTTTTTCTTAAATTTCAGATAAAGTTTTATGTTATTAGATTTTTCACAATACAGAATCTTTACACAAAAATATGACTTTATGCGAACATGTTTATGTTTTATCATTTCCCCTTTTTTCTGCAGAATGTGGTTTTTATCAAACGATATTTACACCAGAGGGAACAACATCAACTTTTCTCTACAACTCCACTGACTACCATTTTTTTCATATACATATTGAAAAGACATCAGGATCAAATAAAGGACATCTTGGTTATGTCCGTATGTTTCAATTCTCTATAATAGATACTTTGCATGTTGATGTTTCTTGGAAAAATAGATCAAACATAAGTATTCCTTCTTACTCTGATGATCAATTCACTCTTAGAATACATCTAAACAACGTCAGTATGGAGGATAATGGGACATACCGAATACGTGGTCGTGATTACGCTTGTTATATCCTTTATGTAATGCGTGAGTATTATCTATAAAACTGAAAAATAGAAATAATTTTCGAGTTGATGTTCCTTTAATCGAATTTATTTTTTTCATCCATGATTGCATAATCTAACGAAGCATCTTACTCATTATATAAGTAAACGTTTGCCACATTTGGAAAAAAATGTCTTTGATTAGTGAATAAGATAAATAAATAACGAGCAAAAGAAAATTATTTTATTTATCTCAGTCGATGTGAAAAAAATTGAAAGTGTACATTACTATTAAACTTTAATACCAACTTAAAGGAACAAGAATTGAGCCAAGTCATAGTCAAGAAGAAAATGAACCAATATATGTGTTTGCGCATCCGCATGCTTCACAGATAAGCCGGCCGTTAACAAACGCAACTATGGTCTGGTTATTAGATGGTAAATCTACCAATCAATCTGCCAGGTTTATACAAGAAGATGGTTTTATTTGGATACCTATGATTAGAAGAGGCCTCAATGGAAGGAATATAACTTACCGCGCTATACAGGATGACGGGAGAATCAGCGATATAAATACCACAGTAACTGTTAGATGTAAGACGTGAATGACATATGTTTCATAACATTAAATACAAGAAAGTAAATCATGTGTTTTAACAATATATTCTTAGTAGTCCGTTTAAAACAATACACACGTCATACTGAACAAAATTTACTCCTGCATTGCTGTACATTTGTGCAAGATTTAGTTTGAAATATATAAACATTTCAAGTGATAGCCTGTTGTCTAAGTATTGAATACACTTAAAATGTTTTATTAGTATGTTTTCAATTACTAGTTTCGCTATTTAATAATAAGATTTAATAAAAATAATAAAGTCTGCGACTGAATTGTTGTGTGTATTTTACATTTACACAGACGGACCAAGCCATCCTTTGACGCTGGTACCAAAAAAGACACACTACTATATGGTCAGTGGAGATATCATGCCTGATATAACATGTACATCTGAATGTAATCCACCATGTAACCTTTCCTGGGGAGAACACAGCGAGAGAGAGACTCTAAGTCTTAGAACTGTTAAGAAGGAAGATTCAGGAGAGTACACATGTACTGCTAGTAGAATTGGTGGTCAGATCGTACAACAGACTATCAGTATTTTTGTTGCTGGTAAGTCTTGTTACTTATTTCCGCTATAAATTTATAAATGAATACGCGATGAATTCAAACTGAACCGGAGCGTGTCTATTGCCGTCTAAATGAACACGTACATTTGATGAAAAATGTAGCATTCATTATACATGTACACGCTGCTGAATAAAAGAAAAGTCATATTAAAATGCTTGTTAATTGATTCATTAATTCTAGTTAGACAGGGAATGTATTATCTTTTTGCTGATGATAACATCAAAACACCCTCCTCATGTTTCGATGCTCTTTATATTAAAAAAATGATTCAAAGCTTTATAACAATAAATAAAAAGGCATGAGCTAGACCAATAACTATCATATCCTGACATAAGATTTGTGATGTAAAATAAGAATACTGTTATCATATTAATATCAGCCATTAAATAGCACTGTGTGAATCAAGTTAAGCATGCATGTAACGCACGATTTGTGCAAAATAAAACGCCGAATCTGCCGGAATGAGTATTTCGGTAGTAAACCGGCCGAACTATTTTGTAGTAAACAATATTATACTTTAAGGAAGCAGATAAGATATGATTCAGGTACTTTTTGATACTGAAACAGCGTTTCTTCTGTGCATTATTCACGAAATCTGCATTACCTCATATAAATTATCCCAGTTACAATAAATCTGCTATATTCAGTGCAATATGACACGAACAGATTAGCGAATGCCTAAGGATACATAACACAATTATATTATATGCATGTATACGTTATTGTAAAAATACATATTAAGTAATTGGATAGTCTTAAAAAATATTACTTGAAAAAGAACCCTGGTATTAAATTCAAAGTGTGTTAGTCTGAACATTTATATGATGAATAATAATATTTTGCTCAAGAACACTTTATTACCTGGTATAAAAATATGTAATATTGGATAATCTATCGCATGCTAAGCAACTACATCAATATAATATGTTTCTTTTGTGGTTTGTTATTATGTTTGATATTTAGTATTTTCAACGTAATTATATATTGTATAATATACTTTCTATAATAGACCAATTCACTTTAACTAGACGTTTGAGTTAATATTTCAATAAATCGATAATACCAATTTAAAATGTAATAAATAACAGATACAGGAAAATGTGCAATTTAATAACGTTAATATGTTCATATCCAAAGATCGACCACTTCAATCCCTCGAGTTGTCACCAAGAAAGACACACTATAATTTGGTTAGTGGAGACACCATGCCTGAAATCATATGTACATCTGAATGTAATCCACCATGCATCATATCCTGGGGAGAACACAGCAAAGACAACATTCTTAGTCTAGGAGACGTTACCACAGAAGATACAGGGGAATATACATGCACAGCAAGACGTTCAGATGGCCGCATAGTTGAACAAACAGTCAGCGTTTTCGTTTCTGGTAATAGTTAAATTCCTATCTCATATTTAATAAACAATTATTAACTACATTTTTATAGAACATTTATAATAAATTTAAATAAATGTTTTCCTGATTGATGCATAACAATGATGTTTATATTTTAGAGTTTCGTGTATACGTAATGGTATTATCACGGGAGTCAATAAATAGACAATATAAAGGGAAGACGCCGCTGTGAATATTTCTAAATTTCTTCGTTAAAGCCCCATGTTATAAACAAATAACTTGATATAGGTCCGTGGGGTTATTTTCTTTTAGAGTGAAATAGTGTTTGTTTCCCATTTGCATATGAATATTTACCTACAAATGACAGAGTGACAAGCTGTTTATAAAAAGCAGAAAACGGTTTTTAGTTAAGGCTAAAAAATCGTCCGCTTACAGTGCAATTAGGGTTATGAATTTATTTATTTATTTGAGATTGAAAAGTGTGATTTTTTTATTACAGTCCTTGATAGTAGTATAAGGATATGTTGGTTTTTTCTAACAATAATCATATGAAGGGCACATTGATATTGCAATATTTTGTTTTATATTTTATACAGACAACTCATATTTTACCACAGCGATTATATGTTTGGCGACGGTTCAATCACTTACTATCATTTTTCTTGGGTTGGGTACATTTTTCATTTACAAAAGGAAAGTACCGTTTTGTTGTCAACAACGTAAGAATTTTTCTAATTCATTGTATAATATCATATTTGAGATTGAGCTTAATATTTCGATGTACATTTCCTTTTAAAATATCCTTACATCATTCTTTTTTGTTTTAAAAGCAGTAATGACCAATGGCATGTGATATCTGATGTAAGATTGTATTTATAAATGTCATATTTTCACATTAACAAACCATAATAGTAATGATGTTCATTAGTTTCAGAATTCGTTTCCAAGAATAAAACAGACAACACAACAGTTACCTTTTCTCAATCGAACGTGTAAGATATTTCGTAAATATGTAGTACTAGTATATTTGTTTGTAAATATCAAAATAATATCTGAATTGGTAGTATGATATAAGACCATTTTCGTGGAAGAATATGACACATAGGGTACACAACTGATTAAATGTTTGTAATATATAAAAATCCATACCAAAGTTCATAAATGGAAATATTTCTGTAAAAATCTTTGTTGAAAGCAATTAACACATGTGCAAAATGTTTACTAAACAACACTTAGAATAAGACTGATATATTTGTTAGGGAATAATTTATTCTTATATATGGTTGCAAGAAATATTAGCGTGTTAAAATAGTAGCAAGCTTTTTAACATCTGTATAGAGGTACGACGTACTTTTAATAGTAAGTAGATTGTAAGACCCTTACAGTTGGTTGCTTATGTTTTAGTTATTTAATTTTACTTTTTTTATATAGTTCATTTCTAAATAAACTATATATTTAAACTGTTAACATAAACATGTCAACATTTATGTCTTGGAAGTGAAACACTTTATTGAGAATACAATTTTCAGGCAAGGATCTGAAAATAGGGTGTATGAAGACTTGAAACATAGAACAAGAAACAATGTTTACGGCGAGATTAATTTGTCTATCATAGGTATCTGCAGTCATTTATAGTAATGTTTATTCTACATTTGTCTCAATAAAACAGCACAAAATATCTACAAAGATTTAGCTGTTACAACGTTCTTAAAAAGCTTGTTTCAACTAAATCTTAGAAGTTTTTTTAGAAACATTATGATCATTCCAATGCAATCAAAGTTTCCATCCTCAGTTAAAATCCATCTTTTTTATTTTGTTATTTATTAACGATTTGTTTTTTGATGCGATTGCTTAAGTATTATATTTGTACATAATATTTTTCAGGAGATGATGCTACAGTAAGTACATATGAAAACATGAGCATTCCGGAAAGAAACAAAGCTGAAGCCGAAAATTAAAATATTCAATTCGTTTGTCATATGTTCACATGCATAACTAAATAGTATTTACATGCGGTAAAAAATGACATTTCCTAAAAGATTAATTTTCATAAGTTCAAAAGCGCTAGTACAAGAATTAGACATTGTTTAAAAGTTTATTTGTGCAAAGACATTCAAATTGACAAGTATGTCAGGCTATTTTAGAAGGATATTTTGTACTCAATAATTTATTTTCTGGACTTTTCTGAGACAAAAAGGGGAACCGTGAATTATCATTGGAAAAATGCAGAGGCAGAAAGAGATAAACGTTCCTTACTTGATTTAGGGAACGCAAAAAGGAAACAAGAAAAAAAAACATATTAACGGCGCAGCTGTTCAATGAAAGATTTAAAATCGATTGAAAATAAGTCTACAAGCAACTGTTTTGAATGAAACTGAACAAAAAAAAATATTTGCTTTGTACATGTGTTGTTAGTGAATCATAAGATGACTTATTTATCTAGTATGTTTGTCTCGGTGTTGTAAAAATATGAAGAGTGTTTTGTTTTTTTCTCTATTTTAGAAAAATCTGAACAGTTATACTTGTAATGTTTGTATGTTAGTATGTACTAAATTACTGTGTCCCATGCTCAGTCATGAATATAATGACAATTCCTTGCCTTCAAGGTATCTATCTGCTTTAACTGTACATATCTATATATCTGCTATAAAAATAGTTCATATAATTCCAAAATGCCCGCATGAATGAAATATGTTTGTAAAGTTCTTTAGAACGAATTGCGCGAAAACCAACTTGAATTAGTACTGTAATAATTTACTTCCGTAACATTTCTTCCGTTAACGTACAATATTCATGTGTATTAAGCAAACTAATCATTCTTTATTAGAACTCTTTCAAGAATCGACCATATACTTATGGAAACAGTATAATTTAACCGTTGATAACTTTTATAATACTATTTCATGAGATACACTTTATATTGCTATATGCAAAAATGTTTTCTTCTTGGATATTACTTTTTAATAGCATGCTTAAATGCTCATATAGCTTTTAATATGCCCGAAAGAAATCGGCGTATATTGTTGTGCACCTGGACGTCCGTCTGTTTACAGTTTTCATGTCCGGTCTGTATCTTTTGAACCGGTGGAAGGAAATTAAACTACTTAGCAGAAATGTTTACCATACTGAGACGATGTGCAGAGCGCAGGCTTAACCTTCCTCGGGTCAAGGTCACGCGTATTATTTTGTATGAATTACAAACTTTCGTGCCCACTCTGTATCTTTTGAACCGATAGAAAGACATTAAAACTTTATGGCAGACATATTCCTTATAATAAGAACACATGTTAGGGGTCACTTGATTTATATAGACTTATGTAGGAAAACATATTTAAGACTTACTGTGTGAAACTTTAAGCCTAGAGCTAAAATATTTGACACGTAGCATCAATCTATAGATTTCTACAAAAGTGATATCAGATCAAAATTGGCCCTACCCCGGGAGTCACTTTCTTTATGTAGACTAAGGTATATGAAAAGTAGTAAAGAAGTCTTATCTTTTTGTGTATCAATAATATGCCTCTATATTTTGCACTTATTAGACGCGTGTAAAGTTTTATAAATTATGAATTTAAGGTAAAAACTGCCCCCACCTTGGAGGTCATATAGAATTAAAGGGATAATTAAAATAACATATAAAATATTTTTAGACAAGTTCTTGATTTGATCTCTTCTCTAATTCAAAAATTAATTTTGGTTACTCAAACAAATTTATATTCGGGCGTGCGTATATAGTACCGCCTTTGCAGTGCTCTTGTTTTTTTTATTATTGTTATGATTAAATTTGCGCTTTAGAACACTTCACTTTGGTCAAGAAAAATGTATAAAATGACAAACTGATTCTGTCATTTGAGCTACCGTTAAATAAATAGATTCGCATCGTATGTTTGACTTTTCAGTTATTTTTGTATATAATATCACTTAGTTTCACGAGGAAGAGCGAAACATACACATTTTATGATTTCATGTATAATAATAATAATAATAATAATAATGTAAAAATACCAATCTGTTCAAATGCTTTTCATTTGATTAAATTCAACCAATATTATAAGATTAATCTATTCAGCATGTGATATTGTTTCAAATTGTGAAGGTTTTCTTGTTTTAAAAAAAAGTGTTCGTCATTTTTTTTGGATACACATAAAGAAAACAAAACGGAAGTATGAAAAGTGTCGTCTTTTTTATTTTCCAATAAGAATGGCTTTATTAATAATCTCTAGATTGACGGTATAGGACAGTTGTCAAATTAATGTAAAGTCCTTTACATATAAGTAATCATATTTATTGTTTGTTTACCTCTGTATTAGCATCGTCCTTACACTGATTTCCATGACTACGTGTTATATGAAATATTTGAAATCGAAATAAATCAATACAAATTTAAAACATATGGATCTAAAAGGAAGGAGTTACATTTCGAAATGTCATTCAGATATTCCCCAACAGACATATACATAAAGACAACATTTACTTGTTCATGCGTGATACATATAATATAATATGATAAATAGAGGATATTTGTTTGCTTGTGTGTAAGATGAAATTAAGTTTCATCGAGTGGGCGTGGCCACGAGTGAGAATACCGTTTTGAAGGAAATACGAAATTTCCTTTATATTGACTTTAATATTAAAATCTGTTTTCCTCACTGGTATCCTCATTTAGTCGAATTTCTCATAAAGTAAAATAAGTCTTGGGTTGAAAAAATAGTTCGACAATCAACGTGAAATGGCGATGATGTTATTCATTTCATTAAAAAAGTATGAATGATCGCTTGTTTAAATAATACAAACAAACAATTCTAGTAGAAAAAAAAGTCACAACATCCGTCCTTATTTCGGTTACTTACTGCGAATTTATATAAGACCTGACCTGGCTTTGTGTAATGAAAGCGGTCGCCATTTCAACGTTATGAGTTGAGGAAAATACTTGTGTTTGATTCAGAGGGGAATCATTTGGATTTGTTAGTCATATTTATTTTAAGAAAAAAGAAAACTCATTTGAGGACTGTTACAGACAATAAATAAGTGTTGACAGAAATGTAAACATTCAAAAAGCGGCTAGGAGATAGGAAAACATGGAATTGTTGAAAGTCGGCCTTAAGAACACTGGGTTGTTTACATATTCTTTGGGCTGATGGCTGCCATTGCTTTTCAAGTTTTCAAATTGAAATAGGCAGTTATTGCTCGTAGGATACAAACAAGTGCCCAAATGTCATTAAAAGCAGTTTTGCATGTGGAAGGATTTGTATTTTTCAGACTGCAAAATGAAACAAAAAGTTTAGAGACGATATTTATCATAGATAAAGTTAATAATAATAGGATAATTCATAAGATAAAGGAATAAGGAGAATTCATTAGATAAAGTGATAAGGATTATTCATTAGATAAAGTACATTGGATAATTCATCAGATAAAGTAAATTGGATAATTGATTGAAAAAGTTAACAGGATAATTCATCAGATAAAGTAAATTGGATTATTCATTAGATTAAGTAAATAGGATAATTCATAGATACAGTAAATTGGATAATTCATTAGATATAAAAATCAACAGTGATAATGATCCCTGGAGAAGCGATCCCTGCAACTCAATCTGGGTGCAATAGTTTAACAATCGACTTAGCTTATTGCTGGCTGGTGTTAAAACAGCAATATTAATGACAGCCGGAGTAGCTGCTTTCTGAATAGGAATTTTAGTTTTAAAATCAGAACTGCATAACCTTGTATTCGGTTTCAATTATGTAGCAAAGTCTTATCTTTAGAATTTGGAGTAAGGGACAAAACTCTTTCACTAATGTTGAATTTCATAATTTTGCAAAGGAAGACAAATCCGCCGGTTTTTTCTGATAGAGCTTTTTCTTAAGATAGATTACTCTATTAGTTGTAATTAAAATTAACTTTTGTTTACATTGATTGAACTTGTGAACAGAAGGTAGAACCTGTGGTTCTAAGAACCGAATGATTGGTTCGATAGACATATAAAGGGTTATACGACAAGGATATTCTTAATGTAATGCATTGTTCCGTTATTTACTTTATATTAACATATTGATATATACTTGTTCCAGAGTGCTGTTTTGTACCTACTTGAGGTCAAGATGACTAAATCAATATGATTAAACTTTACTAAGCTGTTTGTTAGAATTGATTGAACAATCTTTGAACCCACTTGACCCTCAGGGGAATTGATAGTAATATATTTAATATCGCCGAAACCACCCTTATTACAATAACTAGACGGATCTTCCATCAAGCTGCTCGTCGGCACTTAATGTCCCTCTTTACCAAGGGTTTATGTTAGAGATGATAGCTGTTATGTACGATTCATTTGTGCAAAAACTTTAACCGAACTTGTTGTTAGATGCTGCTTTTAAAGTACCTAACACTGGATTGCTAGTCATAACAGGTAAGCGTTAACTATGATATGTTTAATTTAATGTTACAATCAAAATCAACATGGTTTTATCTACACTAACAAACCGGATATTAGCAGTTTATCAAGTGTTTGATCAATTGAAGCAGCAACATCAAACAGCAACCATGACTTTTATGTAGTTCTCAATTTCACATATATGTTTATTGTTCAGGCACTTTTCAAGAAGCAAGGAAATGTGGCATCCGATGACATCAAATAATGAAATAAAATCATCTGAAAGGTATATATACAAATGATGCGTTTTTTTACCTTTGCCCAACCTTCCTATACAATTGTTATGTTTGTTTTCGTTCTTATCGTCGTCGTCGACGGCGTTGCTGTTGTAACATTTATCTGATTCTTATAAGAGCTTATATAAATATCCCCTAATTATTATAGTGCTCAATCAGTATGTTAGTAAGTTATATATAATGCATTATTTTGTTTTCAGGTTCACACTTGACAGGTTTGTTTATGCATCCACCAAAAGCATCAGGTCGTTCGGATTTGGACAAACTTCAAACATCAACCATATTATCGTGTATTGGATAGGGCCATAAGTCGGGGCTTGGTTAAGCTCGAAACTTCGAAGCCTATTGCGGCCGTTTTTAGCTCGACTTTTTTTTTGAAAAAAAAAGGAGAGGTATTGTTATAGTCAGGTCGGCGTTGCCGTTGCCGTTGCCGTTCCCGTCCGAAAACTTGTACCTGGATCATTACTTTTTTATTTCTTGGTATATTGTCTTCATACTTGGCCACAAAAACCCTTGGGACAAGACCTTTCAGTAGACCACACTAACCTTGACCTTCATCCATAAATGACCTTGACCTTCAAGGTTAAAAGTCCAATTTTTGCTTGTTCATGCTGTTATTGGCTGTAACTTTGTTATTTTTGAATGGATTGTCTTCAAACTTGAACATAATAATCTTCAAGGATATCCCTTAAAAATAACCAGTCAGACCTTGACCTTCACACATAAATGACCTTGACTTTGAAGGTCAAATTATTGAAATTTTCATTTTTTTGGCTATTATTGGCTGTAACTTTGTTATTTTTGAATGGATTGTCTTGAAACTTGAACATAATAATCTTCAAAGATAACTGTTAAAAATATACCGAAAGACCTTGACCTTCACTCATTAATGACATTGTCTTTGAAGGTCAAATTATTGAAATTTTCATTGTTTTGGCGGTAACTGACTGTAACTTTGCTATTTTTGAAGGGATAAACTTCATATTATAACAGAACATTCTTAAGGACCAGACCTTGTTGTATGTGACAAGACAGACCAACTAAATTTATAAAAAGGAAACGTTAAGATATGTTCAAACCTTTCTATGTTAACTGATATCTGTTGTCTGTCTTTGTGTAATTTCTCAATTGTCATATTTGGAATAGTATTTAAAATTGTGTATATGTTAGTTTTATAATATATATAATTGATACCGTTGGCTTTTTAATGTGACTGTATGAAATAATTTTTTATTTTCGATTTCCGTTTTGTTGAAATTTCCTTATTCCTGTTCCGGACGACAAAAATATCTTCAATGTCATACACAAGTAGTTATTTCATTATTTCTGTTCCGGACGACAAAAATCCTCTCAATATGGGCATGGATGTTTGAAATTTGACTGCTCTGTGGGTTTTTGTTATTGTTGGTGGTATTGGTGGAGGTGTTTTAATTGGTTTATTTGTTTGTTTGTCTTAATACCAACGACACAGAAAACGTGTACTATTGATGCTGATTATACTGTGATATATGTGATAGCCGTGAAGTACGCGGGGTAAATGGCTAGCAGTCTAGCGGCCTAATAGTGTGAACTGGGTGGGCTAGCAGTCTAGCGGGCTAACAGTGTGAACTGGGCGGGCTAGCAGTCTTGCGGTCTTACAATGTGAACTAGGCGGGATAGCAGTCTAGCGGGCTAACAGTGTGAACTGGGCGGGCTAGCAGTCTAGCGGTCTAACAGTGTGAACTTGGTTGGCTGGCGAGCAG